ACACTGTAGGGAGTTTGGGGGGGAGGTGCATGTCCAACTTCGGACTGGGTCTTCAGTATGACCATGATATATAAGTGAATTAGTCAGGTCCAGAGCAGTGAGTAGAGCTGTGTGATACAGTTCGAGAAACACCATCGTGTCCAAGTTGACCACCAAAGTCTTTAAATACCTCCTGTATCGCGGACTAGTGCACCAATCCTTCGAATCTTTATGGATTTAGTCGCTTCCGTGTCCAGTGGCCTCGACCTGCTCGCTAATCATGCACTAGTTAGTTACACGAAAGTGACCTTCACAGTAAAGCTACCAGGTTGGGCTAGTTAGTGCCACTTTACTCACAGAGACCGTGGCCTAGAATCAGATATAACCTTGGAGGTTGGCAGCCTTGGCGTTGATACTATGCGTATCGCCAATCATGGATACCAACTATCATATGATGGGCTATAAGCTATGAGCTACAGTGGCGGCTACTAGTGGGAATGAGGCTACGCAACTCCGTACTGCCGCGGAGGGAGCAGAGGGTCATGGACTCAAATTCTTGGGGTCATCATGCTATCGATGAAATGGAAGTTGAAGGGATTGCAAAGAGGATTGGTGAAGGTGGCTGACTTGTTGAGATTATCAAGACCATCCTCAACACATGACAGAAATCCACCAAGACTGATGAGAGTCAATCGTCAACTAGTGACGAATACCGCCCCTTCTGTATGCTTTTTAACTTTGCCGGACTCACTAACGTATTACTCAACTTTCTAAACTAGCCACTTAACCTATCACTTCCAACTCTTCAACTGAGGAACTCATATTACACAAAAGGGAACCGAGTCAAGCCTTACACAACACTCCCATCAAGACTGTATCTCAAACACCGCTACAGAGATGCATGCAACAAAGCCTACCAAGACCAAGACCAAGACTCCCTGTCCCTACCAGATGCCTCTCTCTTTACCCTCGAACCCAAAGTTCGCAGCTACGCCTACGAACAGAGCTATGCAGAGAATACTTGGCCCCCAACGATCGTAGAACCCAATGGCCTTACGTTCTCGGATGCCTTTACTTCGGTGGAGATACGTAAACACAGAGTATGCGAGGCTTGCAACAGCCAGTACAGTAAAGAGGCCAGAAATCCAGAAATGGGTAGGTGTGGGATGGCTACCGAAGTTGAGTAGCGTGACAGCAATTGTGCCGATATATATAGAAAACTCGAGCTATCGAACGAAGCGTATTAGTAAATGAACACCAACTTTAAAGTCAAAGTACTCACCCATCCCAAGAATGTTCTTTCAGCCGCAAAATAGACCTTGGGCTCCACGCGTACAGGCACATAGATCTTCTTGCCGGGGGGTGCCTTGAACTTCTTAGTCTGGATAGGATCGTGCCCAAACAAGGCTTGCAGCCGGTCACTGCGTTCAACCTGCGTGCTTCTAGGCGCAGGAATAGCAAGCTTGAGCGCAGAAATCACATTTTTCCCAAAATGCTGTCTGACATGTCGAGTCTTGGCAGAAAGCAAAGCCGAGTAGTAGCGCCATCCTCCACTTCTCTTGGCTTGCGCCAGCTCGTATCTTTCATCATACTCGTCATCGGAGTTGTAAATCGCATAGTCTTCATCGGCCGCAGGAAGGTCTGTCATCTGGCCCTCCATGTCAATAGGAGGGAGCTCACGGAGACCACGAGCGCCCTGTGCGCTCGACTCGCCGTTAGTGCCATTGCGGCCAGAAGCCTGCAATTCCTCATCATCCGAGTCAAGCTCTTCGTCGTCATCAGATGTATTTGTAGTACCTGACAACCCGGGCCGTCGAATACCAAAGTCATGAGTAACGGGTTTGCGAATGTCTACGTCCATCTGAGGCATCCAGAAAGGCAGGAGGTTGATTCTATCAGGAAACAATGTCGCCGTACCGTGGATGAACTTCGAGAACTTGGGCACGGCCTCCACCAGGTGAGATGAGATAAGCTGGCGAACCCACTCAGGTGGTTTCTGACCGGACTGCGTCTGGAGCTTGACCTCCAGGACGGCATAAGGGAACCGCTCAATGTCTTCAGCAGGTAATTGCGAAAAGGGCCAGTCAACACCGATATCCATGCGGCGCCAGTTGTCTCCAGAGCGGACACGGCCATCAAGATTGTCCTCCCGTACCATTGTGAGCTCCGTATCCAGCGAAATTCGGACACGGGCATCAGCGGGGAGCTGGAACGCAGTGCGGTTATAGAAAGATCGGCATACGGGCTTGTAGCCCTTTTTAATGACCGAGTATTGGATCTCAGAGGCCAATCGCTCGTCCTCAGCAATGGCTTTCTCAGACTTCTTGCCCTCTTTGCGTGCCTTCTCAAAGATGGCGGCTGGAAGCAGTTCTCCCTTCATGTACGCGTTGACATTCTTCTCCTTCATGGCAAATCGAGCCTTGACAGACTTCTCACCCGTCCAATCTTCACGGTGAGTCTTGCGCTCGACGAAGATCGTCTCTGTCTTCATGCCTCCATACCATCGAAGTCGAATCGCCTCGGCACCTTCAGTTTTCTTCAGTCGACCTTCGTACAAGTCCCAGGTATCGGGATTGTCGTAGTAAATCGATGTGATGGCAGAATCTTCCGGGTCGAAGTCCTTGTTGGCATTGAAGACGAGAACAGGCAAGTGCTTCAGGATAATGAGCTTCAGTTCCGTCACGTTGTCAGGGTGCACCCAGTATTTAGTCGTTTGTCGGATGAAGTTGGCCTGGCCTCCACCCGCAGCACTGTCACCCTTGACGGGATTTCCGCGAGTTCGGACGAGGTCGTAGAGCTTGGACAGCTTGATGACGGCGGCGTCGTAGTTTTCCTTGTAAAAGGGCTTGGCTTTGAGTCGGCTATCGAAAACGGGCTTTAGGTGCCATCCGGTCGTTTTCTGGAACTCTCGTTAGGCAACGGGTACGTGGTTTCCAATGGGTTGGGTCTTACATCGTGCTTCTTAATGATCTTGTAAAACCCGGTGTAGTTGAGCTGCACAAATTTGGCAAGGTCGTGGACATCGGCTATAATGTCGCTGAGGTCCTCTTCGAGAAGCATGAACTCTTCCTCGCTAGGGCCATTCTCGCCAAGTCCACGCTCATTCAGGCGATTAACCACATCCTTGACTTCGCGTTCGCTCACAGCAATTCGACGGGAAATCTCCATAGCCTTGACCTTCTGCTTGGTGTGAACCTTGTCGAGCTCTAACTCGAGCCTTTCGACGAAGCGCGTCTCGTCATCCTCAGTCCATTCTGGACCCTTGCCGGCCTTCAAAGGGCCGGTAGGTCCCTTGAGCTCATTTTTCAAACCATCGTAATCGATATAATACCATTGATACTCCTGGATAACGCTGGAGCGTAACTGCTCTCCGAACTTCATGACGACGACGCCGGGTCGGACAGAAAGATTTTTGCCGTCGCGGGTGCTGAGCCAGGTTCTGGAACGTGTCTTGAGGTCTTGAACGATCAGCATGTGCGCACTGAAGAAGCTGGATACGACATCCAAGGAATTGAGCTCTGATAGCAAAGGCTGATGATGGATGACGAGATATGGGACGTTTGACCACGAGGCAGCCGAAGAATTCAATCGACGAATGCTGATGGTACAGGTCTTTTGCTGGCTTACCTGGTGACGATAATAAGAGAAGAGGAGGGCGAGAGAGACAATGTTTTTGGTGTCGCCGAAAGTTACGAGATGACCGAGGCGTAACAAAACAGGTCAGGTCAGGGCTTCCGAGTCGGCAGGTACGGACGAACTATTTTAACGAATATGCAAGGTAACCGTGGCACTGTAAGTCAATTACAGTGCGGCAGGTACGAGAAAAGTTTCCAGGTTTCCTCGCCTTGCTTGGCCTGATCTGAACTCTTTTGTCGCTTCGCTTTGTCTTGTTATCGTTGGCGTCGAGCAACTGACTTTAGGTCGAGCGTTAGGTGGAGCAACAGGCCGACATTGGTCTAGTTGGCGTTGTCACGGTCGAGAGCTCTGTTCGAGACAAGCTCTGAACCTGAGACGATTGGCGAATCATGTTAGTGGCTACAGGAACGTGCACGTCACTGAAGGAAACTTAATGGCGACGGGAGGCTAGGGAGGGACAGGGGAGTCCGACGAGAAAAACTGGTGCTGCTGAAGCGAGGGGTATCGAATCCGACACCGAGCCTCAACATATTTCTCCACCTTGTGTTACTGCTGAATCGATCCACTCTCGCAATTGGGCAGTGGGGGATTGTAGTGCAATGCCGGTAACCTGCATTTACACGTGCGTGGAATATGTTTTCTGACAAGCTTAGGTGCCGACGGGCTCAATTGTCGAATAGGACAAGGTCAACTCACTTGTTAGGTACTGTAGTCCATGCACTTTCAGCTTCCATGTAAAATGACGCTGGCGCATGCCTAAATTACCTAACTTAGTACCTACCTAAGGTACGTTGCACAGCACCTATGGTGAGAAGCCCCCAAACAATGGAACTTAGCTTAGTTACTGTACTCCGTAGGTATGGAAGAACGGCCGCGGCGGACCTGGCTAGCCTGGAGTAAGACATAGGTAGTAAAAAATCATAAAAAATGTAAATGGTTTGGATCACACACATTCCGTAGGTGCCTATACTTTCAAGTTGCGAGTGAATGTTTATACCTCTGCACGTTGATCACTTTGATAATATCATTATTAGTAACTGATATAGAGATACCAGTATGAGACACTTCATAACAAGCAAAGACCCAGCTATAGCTAATGGGAGATATATCATGTTTTCTTTGCACTATCCAGGAGGCCCCAATTTTTTGTGGTCAGGATGCTTCATCATCGAACTCCAGACTTGTATAGATCCAACCCTAGCACAAACTTGGCCTTGATTCTTTTCTACAGCCTCAACTCGAAAAATCGGCCTCAACGTTACTATATGCGTAGATAAACAGGTACACTCGTTGCTCAACCCCTGTAGCTCGGGTATTGCCCACTCATCTCCAAACTCCCGTGCCTCTCGACCCCGCAACACAGTTTTTATTTCGTGCCCCTCATCATGGCTCCCAAAATCGATGATTCTATGCCGGCGCGCATATCCTCCGATTGCCCAGACGACATTCGGGAAGTCTTGTACCATGCCTGGGGCCATGATAGAAGTGGCCTACAGAAACTGCTAAAAACCACCGGCAAAGCAAATGCTCAGGACCCCAAGACTGGGGAGACACCCTTACATGCAGCTATCCGTGCCTGCGGGCCTGCTTCTGGGGACGATAAGGACCAGGAAGAGGATGGCTCCGTTGAAGAGGCTAAAGAGATAGTTCACGACCTCTTCTTGAGAGGTGCGATCTGGAACGATGTCGATAGCAACAATGAGACACCAGGGTGCCTTGCCCTTAGACTTGGCCGCAAGCCTCTATACAACCTTTGTGTAGAGGCTGGAGTGCGAGCTGAACTCCTGTTCGCTCTTATGGGGGATTATGAAGCACTATCATCTGGTTCAGATGACGGTGACGAAGAGATGGAAGCTGAGCAAGATGGCGAAGAGGCTCCTCAACTGGTATCCGCTGAAGACACCGCCCCTCATCCAGAAGAACCCAAGTTCATTCCCCCCGATGCTCAAGAGAAGCAAGTCACAAGTGAGGAATATCTAAATTCGAAACTTGTATATGATGATGCCAAGCTCGTCGACTCCGACCTCAACGGTGTCATGATGGCATGGGAGACCGATATCATGCGCCGGTCGGTTGCTGCTCTGATTCCCGACTCAGCCCCTGGCAAACGTATCCTGAACATTGGTTTCGGCATGGGTATCGTCGATGGTATGTTCGCTGATTTGAAGCCCTCACGCCATCACATCATCGAGGCACACCCAAGCGTTCTTGAGCACCTCTCCAAGGATGAATCCAAATTTGGCCCTAGTTGGGAGAAGAGCGGCCCTGAAGAGGGCGCCTTTAAGGTGCACAAGGGCAAGTGGCAAGATATCGTGCCAAAACTACTGGAAGATGGTGAGGTTTATGATGCCATTTACTTCGACACCTTTGGCGAAGACTACTCTCAGCTACGTCACTTCTTCTCTGAGTGCATCATTGGCATCATGGACCAGGATGGAAAGTTTAGCTTTTTCAATGGCCTTGGTGCTGACAGAAAGATCTGTTACGACGTATACACCAAGGTGGTCGAGATGCAGTGCGCCGATGCAGGGCTCGATGTCGAGTGGGAGGAGAGTGATGTGGACATGTCTGGCCTAGAAAAGGCTGGTGAGGGAGAGTGGGAGGGTGTACGGAGACGATACTGGACCCTAGACAGTAAGATACACCCATGTATTTTACATCACTATCAAGCTAACTTCGTTTCGCAGAATACCGGCTGCCTATTTGCACATTCATGGGCTAGACGAATGTATCAATCAAAAAGATTACAGGCGTGTCGGTGGCACAAGCTTCTTGATAGTCTTTAAGAAACCCTTCGTCTCTATTCATGCTTTCGTTTTCAAGTCCTCGTCTATCTTCGTTTTCTGTCCAATCCTAATATAACCTTTGATACACATCACCCGCCTTTCATCATTCGATCCCTGCTCATGCTTATTTGAAGTTCTCGGGATGAAGGATACCTGCCATGTTGCCCTCATTGATTCGCTTGAGGGTCAGGGCGGCAATCAGGGCGGCGCCGACACCACTGCCATCCTCAGCAGTAAGAACCTCAATAGGGTCCTCGGCCTTCTTGTCGGTCTTCTCAGGCCAGTCGAGAATCTCTCGCAGGGCCTGAGCTCCTCGCTCCTTGAAGTAGGGGTACTTGTTGAACACAGAGCCATCAGCACCGACGTGGCAAGATTCGTATCCCTTCTTCTTGCAGATAGCAGCGATACCACAAGCCGAAAGGCGAGCAGCACGTGTGCCGATGAGCTCGGCGGTCCTTCGAACGAGCTCCAGTTCGGGGCGTGTAGGCTTTAGGTTCAGCTTCTTGCCGAAGAGATCATACGTCTCAGTAAGGTTCTCCCAGGGGTCTCTAAAGCAGAAAATTAGCTGTGTGCGTAAACCTAGCAAAAGAAGGAAAATCGTACTCTTCAATAGCAGACAGGAAGGAAGCATCAAGGGAGTAAGGTTTGCGTAGCAGAGCGATATCTTGGTTCTCGAAGATATGGATGGCTTTGTTATCGTGAAGGTCAACAAGGATGAGCCGGAAAATCTCGCCAAGGTAGAGACCAGCAATCATCTTTTCGAAGGCCTGTTGTCCTGGGCGAGGAGACTCCTTATCGATAGTCACATCGTAGGCAGTTCGGGGAAGGACTTTATGCTCGTTATCAAAAGCTCCCCACTCGCAGTTGATAGCCATGGGCAGATCGGCAGGCAAATTCAGGTCGGCAATCTTAGGAATGGAACCACAGTCTTCCATGTAAGCAGCATTGCAGCCAGTACCAAAGATGCAGCCGATCTTCATAGCGGTATCGGTATAGGCTGAAGCGATCAATGTGCCAGTAGTATCATTAATGATAGCCGCAAGCTTGATGGGGACGCCCTATTCGCATGATCAGCAGCGATTCTTTGGGATATTAGAGCGATGTTCAGCGTACGCGAGCCTTCAGGGCCTCCTCGAACATGGGCACGATGTTCTTGCCCTCCACACCCTCAATGTCGAAGCCCTTGGTCCATCGCTGCAGGATACCCTCATCGATGTAGTTCTGGGTGGCAGGATATGAGAATGTGAAACCCAGAGGAATTTTCTCCAGCTTGCTACAGTCCCCGTGGTGAGTCTCGAGGAACTGGTAAAGACACTCGGCAATGTATTCCCAAAGCTCCTCAGATGTACCAGACTTGAGCTCCTCGGGCATGCGGTACTTGGACTGGAGGATATCGAACTCGGATTTCTCTTCGGTCAGGGTGATTTGGCAGACTCGCAGGTTTGTTCCGCCCATGTCCAGGGCCAGGTAAGTTCCGGTTTCATAGCCATCGGGGTATGACATGACCCAGGTAGGGTTCATAGGCTATGGGCTTGGTTAGAAGCAGGATTGGAGGTGTCTGTTTCGAACTCACGATGCTACCCCCCTCAACACTGAGGCCTATTGAGAGTCAGATAGTCGTCCCTGCAGTCGACAGAACAGCAGGGCTCACCTTTGGCCAATTCGGAGACAAAATGGTCGGTAATCTCCTTGAGCTTAGCGGGCTCTACCGTGAAGAGCTTCTCGAGCTTGTGAATCTCATCGGCGAGATCCTTAGGGACATCGGCCATTGATCCTGACATGATTAATCGTTAGCAACGAAGATTTGACCAGGCTGATGTTATTTTTGCTTGGAAGCAGTTGGAAAAACAAGAGGCTCTGAAGAGAGAAAGGTTGACAGAAGGGTAGCGCATTTTGACTTCAGTGCTGCATGGTCACTGAACAAGCACTGCATCTACACTCTAACAGTAGGACAGTGATTGCCAGCTGGCAAACCCAATAGAATTCAGTAGCCACGAAGTACAAGCTCACGTAATACACCTTATCTGCAAATTCGTTGTCCCCCAAAACTTGAGGTCGTAGTCGCATACACAGTCGATCATCATTGTTATCGCCGATTCTTGGCCAAGCTCAAAGAGCCAGTGGGGATTGCTCTCGATCTCGCACGACGGCTTTCTCTAACTTTCGTGGCTCTAGATGACGACTTCGTCTTGTCTCCAAGGTTCGCCACCAGGAATGTTGCAAAGGATGGAGAAACATCGTCATTGCAGCGCATTTTTGCTGGTTCTGCCCTCCTGAGCAAGCTTCCTCTTCTTAGACAAGCAACAACTCGTGGCCAGCAGCAATTGATGCTCCCAAATAACGAATGATAGAGTTTCTTGGTCGCGGGGGGCGTCATAACATAACAAGTGACAGCATTTGAGTATACGTACCCTTTCGGGAGGGAGGACGTCGAGGACCAAGACCAACCATTTTGATGAGCGAGGTTTGACTTTTGGCGGGGTTCGGATTTGGCGGGGTAGTGTCTTGTTGCAGCTTCGTAGCGCGTAGGTCACCGTGGGAACTTTTGTAGGGAAAGACGTATTCACGAAAGGAAAAGAAACACGATTTAGAATTTAGAATAGATTGGAGTATGAGGTGGATGGTGTAGGTAGGGGGATACAGGGTTTTTAAAGCAGCCCAGATATGGATAGGATGGGATGGGATGGAAGGGAGGTGGAGTAGAAAGCACCTTACGTAGGTAAGGTAGGTGCTAGCAGGTCCTGTCGGGACTGGACTGAAGTAAATTGAGGTGAGTCGAGGTCAGGACAGGCCCGTTGAGCGGGAGATTTGCAGGGAATTGACTTATTAGGTGTCTTCTCATGTCATCAATCGGCCAGAAGCCAAGTACATCTACCTGCAAATAAAGGTTGACATGTACTTTATCTTATATCTTGTGACCAATTGGTAACAGCCAGATCGTCCCAGGTCTCCGCCGTCTTGACCCTCAACAGGTACCTATGGTTCCTTAGTACCTACATAGAAGTATGTGTCCAAGATATAGGTGGTATGTAGGCCTGCACCTGGTTTCTACTGAACACTCGTGTCTGCTCCCCTTGACTAAGGTACTTAGGCAGCTGAGCCACCTCTGTACCTTTCGTAGGTTGCTCGATTGACCGCTTCGTTGCAAAAGGAAGTAAGAAGACAAGAGACGTCTCTCCTCAACAATGATACTAGCCAGAACAAGAACTCAGGCACCTCACGCTTAGACATTCGTGGTCTGAGATGCGTGTGGGTTGAGGTGTCTCTTCTCCTCAATTCCAACTGGAGCCTATCTTGTCGGGCCGTTGATGGAGGGGGCCATTGGTATTTATTAGTGGTTACTCTGACTGAAAGTCACACAACACATCAGAGTTCCCAATCGCGTTTCTTCAGTTGCATCTCTTGATTAATGCCGTCTCTTCGAAGTCACAATTAGGATGAAATTCATGATACCCCGACTGGGCACATGTTTCACTGCTCTCGGCCTTCATAAGCTGGTAGGCTGGGGAGCATGGGGGTCGGCCGCGTCCACTCTGGCAGTTCTGGGCAGTTGAAACTCCAGCTTGGTAACATGATGTCAGGTCCCAGTAAGCCACCTTCGTGGGGGGATCCTCCAAGGCTACTTTAGGTACTTGGTTCTTCTGCAGTTCAGGTATCTCTCACCTCATCAGGATGTGGGGTGCTTGTGCTATAAGGTAAGGTACTAGGTAGGTTAGCTAGGGGAGGAAATAAAACTTGGGACCTTAAACCTAACTGATAAAAAGACTTAGGTAACTTAGTATGAGTTTAGGGTGAGTTTAGGATACCTTTTGTAGAGTTTATTTTGTTACCTTAAAGCTAGGTCTTGTGTTTTCTTGCTCCTACAGGGTTCCGTGGGTCAACCTGGAACGCACCTTAGTTACCTATCGGGGGTCCGGGTCCGGCACTACGATTCTCCCGAGCTGCGATCTAGCCACGTTTTCATTGGTTAGACAAGCTAGCTACGGAACCTAGGTACCCTGAAGCTTCTGCTGACGCGCCAAATGGGCAACGTATGCTTTTTGGGGAGCTGCCCTGTCTCAGGAGGGTCTAGAAGTTGAGGTGTCGAGAGAGTTGCGAGCTTGCATTTATCAAACTTTGACCACAATTACCTTGCGGTACACGGCCACAACAAATTTTCAGTCTTGACAGCTTTGGATCTCTCAATAGATGAGTGTATCCCTATCTTAAGCCGTCATCATGAAGCCTTTCGCCATCACCACGGCGCTCTTTAGCTTCATATCCGTCGCACTCGCTGGCGCAACTACAGACTCCAAGACATCAAAGGTCATCCTGTCCGTCGACTTTAAGCCTCCACAGGTTTTCAAGAACGCCAATTTGGTGCACGTCATCTCTCTCGAGAAGACCTACGTAAAGGAACAGATCAATGTCCTCGTCGAGAACGTTGCAAAGGAGCCGCAGACAGAATACTATGTGCCATTTACTGCCGAACAGCTTCCTCGTATAGGAGGTTTCGAGGTTAAGGATCGTAAGGATGCGAACGCCGGACCGTTCGCGGCCGAGGCTGTCGAGTACGATCCTGTCAGGTATGTGTCTTCTAGCCGGGCTATGTTGCAGTTCAAGACTAATGGTGCGATATAGTGATGTTCAGTACTATCGTATCCGACTGCCCACGCCGCTCAAGCCTGGTGCCCAACAAACACTCGGAATCACCTACTATTACCTGAAAGCCTACACTCCTCTCCCCGCGGCCGTTTCCCAGGACGATGACCAATACCTGAGCTTCAACTTTTCCGTTTATGCACCATCTGCCTATATCACGAAGAAGCAGAAGACTGAGCTTAAGGCTGCTTCGGCCGATGTCCCCGATTATACAAAGCTTCCAGGCAGCGGCGAGGTCAAGGAGTTTCCTGTAAAGCAGGGCACCAAGCTCATCTATGGTCCCTTTGATGAAAAGCCCGCCGGTGCTGTCTCTCCTGCCAACGTTCGCTTTCAGTTTACCAAACCGGTTATTCATGTCAAGGAGCTCGACCGTTTGATTGAAGTCAGCCACTGGGGCGGCAACATCGCCTTCGAGGAGCACTACGAGATGTATCACGGCGGCGCTAACCTTTCTGACAACTTCGACCGAATCAAATATTCTCAGCATTCGTTGTACCGTCAGCATGGGGTTGCAGGAGTTCGTCCTTCGCATTACCTCGACCAATTGCGAATTCCTCTTCCGGGCGGAAGCGTGGACGCCTACTATACAGATGTGATCGGCAACGTCACAACGTCTACTTGGCGAACCGACAACCGAGACGCTCTTCTTGTTCTGAAGCCGAGATACCCTCTTTTTGGTGGATGGAGGTACCCTTTCACTATTGGATGGAACTCCGATGCTTCTAACTTCCTGCGAAAGACCGCCACTGGTAGTTTCGTTCTCCGAATTCCTTTCATCGAAGGCCCCAAGCAGCCAGAAGGCGTTGAATATGAGCACATCAACGTCAATGTTCTCCTTCCAGAAGGCGCCGAGTAAGCCGACAGTCCAAGCACTATCTGTGCGTTTGCTAACTTTGATACAGGAACGTCAAGTTCCACACCAACATTCCCGAATCGTCGATTGTATCTACCTCGGTTGATTTGACCAGAACCTACCTCGATACTGTCGGCAGAACAGCAGTCAGCATCAAGGCACGAAACCTGGTCGACGAGTTCCGAGACCGCCAACTCATCATCTCTTACGATGCGCCTCTCTCGAGCGCTCTTCGAAAACCTTTGGTCATCTTTGCCAGTGCCATGGTGGTATTTGTCACTACCTGGGCATTGGGCCAGGTGCAGGTGGGATTTAAGCCCAAGAAATAAAGGCTTTGATAGAAAAGGAATGCGTCTTTTGATTGAGGGGTCTTCGCCTTCACATGATGAGGAGTCTGGAAGCAGCTGCTGGGAAAGATGTAAAAGTGTAAAATAGAGGGACCATATTAGTAAATGGGATTAGGTTTCCAGTTTGCAAGACGCAAGAAACATCAGATGACAGTCAAATACTCGCTTGACTTTGGTCATGTTCTGACAAAGACAGCAAAGCCACCACCAAGAGACAGGGTCCAAGCCATTATCCGCGAGGCGGGCAATTCCGTAAGCTAGCTAGGCCCAGCCTCTTTTGATAGCCTCTCGTACAGACTTTGCCAGGTTCTAACACGGACTTGGTACTACGCCAAGTGCGTGTGGAGGGACTGTGTCTCCCAGTTGAGCCTGAGATGGGTGGGCGAGACAGACTCCGAATGGCCACCCTGGCTGAGGGCCCTCTCCTTGTCTGAGCCAGGTTCTGACAGCATGGGTGAGTCAAAAGAAACCGGGCAAAGGAAATCAGGGCAGTGGTATAAGATTGAACATGAGAGCCCTCCTCAAAGCCTCACACATTCTTTTGCATTTATAATTTAACATCCAATATCTCAAGTTGAGGCTGATCAATCAGGGTCTCACTTTACAGTCGCTTCAACGATCTCGTTCGACTAATCCTGTCCTATCACAGCTGCGACCAGTCTCACCCTCGCCGAACAAGCCCTCAAACAACCACCAGGATGTGTTTCGGCAGTGAACCCAAGCCTAGGACCAAGTACTACTATCACGAAGAGATTACACCTTCTAGGCGATACACAGGCCATCATCACCATCACCACCATCACCATCATCACTCACGCTCTCCCCGAGCAAGCTACACCAGTGTCTCTAGACGGTCCTACAGCCACAGCCCACGAAACAGTGGCACTGTTGTCTATGAGCGCTATTGATCGTCTGGAGGCACCAATGCTGAATTGTGGGTGTAATTAGAGGCGATGACGTTGTGCAGAGCATGCGGTACTTGGCGGGCTGCGTTTAGCGGCATTGGCAATGTGTTTAATCATTTGATGAGGAACGTATGACTATTTGGGCAAGGTATTGGGGGAAACTGTCTGTTTAAAGATATTGGACACAGGGTGGGCGTTATTCATGCACAGGAACAGGCGACATAGCGCAATTCAATACAATAAGATGGAGTTTCTTTTCCATTGGCTTTGGCTCAATGGGCTGTTGATCATAAGCTGTGGCAGTAGAGGAAGGTCAACTTAAGGATCTCAAGATGCTATTTGACCAATGTCCCTTACATGAAAGGCTGAGCCTTGTACTTCTTTCCCGGGAGCCACGGAACTTTTTTGTCATTTGGAGCTCTTTGGAAAGCCTGTTGACGTATCGTCTGGGCGGGGTGCGGAGTGTCCCGCAAAGCTGGATCGTCGCTAGAAGAGCTCATGACATCACACTGCATTCCGCCACCGAACATACAAAGGCTCTCTAAGACAGATACGGTACAGCGAGTTACTCCAAATGTGAGCGTAGGTGCAGCTGAAAGCATGTACTTGTGCTACCGAAAGCAGGGCAGATCCAAGATGGGTTGGTGTGTGTCGTCAACGTCAGTTCAACAGGCCCTTATGCTTGCTTAAAGCCTGCACAACCCCTGCCTTTGTATAGACAGCTTTGACATCTGGAGACCTCTTACATCCATCCCCCTTGTAACAAACCTGACCCGGACCCAGACGATTTGCACTGATTTACATTTACTACCCAAAGCGGCTCTGCAGCTGAATTCTCGAATCGCCTTATTCCACCGTAAGCTGTCACCTGTTCCATTGTGTGAGGAGGTGTTGGGCCTTGTCTGCTCCATAGGAGGGAGCGGGGAAGGCAAGAATGTTCTGTGATATCGAAGCTGACTATATGGAAGAAGGTGCATTCTGGTTGAGTCGCAGATTCCTACTCTTGAGCGATACCTGAAGGATTCGCCTGCCTACCTTGGCTCTCTAGGTAGTTATCCTTCCTCAAGCCTTCATCATGTAAGCCCCCGTTGGAATCTTCAGCAATTGTCAAAATTCATATGTCGTCGCGCCTCAACCAACCGTACTGTATATCAAAATACAATGTCTCGCTTCAGTTTCGACACCTCTTCTTCACGCCATGAATCACTAGATTCGGAAAGTCCGATTGACATGAAGCCCTTTTCTAGGAATCGCGCACTCTCCATTCGATCCAACAAACCCAAGGGCAGCTCTGGCGCTGGTGCCGGAGCCAAGCGCCCAGGTTTCTCCTTCAACTCACTCCGCGGCCAGGTTCAACCTGAGCTGTCCCGTAAGCTATTCCGCCTCATCAAATCGGAGAACAACCTCATCACCGCCCATGAGACCGCCGGCCGTGAGCGGGTTTCCATTGCAACTCAGTTATCTGAATGGGGTGAGCACACCGGAGATGAGAGTATTAGTGATATTTCAGATAAAGTGGGAGTTATCCTGAGTGAAATGGGCGAGCAAGAGGACGCATATGCTCATGCTCTTGACGATTCTCGCGCCGAACTCAAGGCCATTCGAAACACTGAGAAGAGCGTGCAGCCCAGCCGCGAAAAAAAGGACAAGATTGCCGACGAGATCCAGAAGTTGAAGCTAAAGGAGCCTGGCAGCACAAGACTGCCTGTCCTCGAGCAGGAATTGGTGAGGGCTGAGGCTGAGAACCTGGTAGCGGAGGCCCAATTGACCAACACCGTGAGTTGTGACTAGCACCGCTTCATCAACCTTTTGAGCAGGGCTGACCTTCCATCTAGACCCGACAAAAGCTCAAGGAAGCCTATGTTGCCGAGTTCGCTGCAACCATCGAGCGTGCCGAAAAGCAGATCATGCTAGCCAAACATGGCCGCCGTCTGTTGGAGCTTCTCGACGATTCGCCTGTGGTTCCTGGCGATACACGAGTGCCTTATGAACACTCGTCCCTGGCACGCCAAATCCTCAACGATGCTGAGGATGACCTTCGAGAGTGGCGACCCGAGGCCGAGGGCTTTTCTACTCCAGTCCAAAACCAATCGCCAACCCTTGAGGGAAAGGGAAAGGAGCCTCTGGCTTCGGAAGACAATTTGTCTCCTGTCCAGTCTGAGGCAGCCACAGTTGAATCCGCCACTTCTCCTTTGGAGCAACGGGGCACCAAGTCCTCTGTCTATGCTGAGGTCGCTGGCTAAGTGGGCAATTACAGGGTAGTTAACAAGGGTGCCGATTCAGGTATTGTCTTTTATTTCGACAAGTTTCGTTTTCTTGAGCAGGCGAGAAGGTTCACTTGCTGTTATCGCAGTCTGTCTGGGCGTGCCGAGGGATTAGCTCCTAAGTTTAATAAGTCTGGGGTACCGAGAGGCTTTTGTGTGAGTGCTGTCTGTTTATTTCCTTTGAGTGTTGCTTCGTTAGTCTCGTTAGTTGAATGAGAATAGGGGTGCCTATCAAAAGTGTAATAAAATGGTGTCATGTTGAGGTTCGTAGTGTATGTTGCACCTTGGGTGCAAGAACGACGATGAACCGGCTCGTGGCGCAAACTTCGGGCTTATTAGGCTCATCTTCAATCCATTGTTGAAACACTCAGCACCAATCGATATGAGGTGATCAGCATCGTGGGTCCTGGTGCTCTGGTTTTTCAGACGGTGTGGATGGATGGGGTCTGCATCTTGGTGTTGCACCTAATAAGAAGACGATTTATTATGTTCCGGTTCCGGAGATGGATGAACTTTCGTGAAAGGCTTGATTGCAGAGTAGAAAGATAATTACATTAATGGTCTTCACAGTAAACATCGTGGATTGACTACTAACGAGAGGGGAGCGAAAGAAGGCTAGAAGGACCTTGAGCCTAGCTAGACATTACTTCATCAATCCGTTTAGCTGCAAGTGTAATGAAATACGTACTACGTAGGTTCATCGGGTCATGACTTGTCTCCGGGCTGTCGGCCGTGTTGCATGGAGATAAGGATCAATTTAGCACAACTGAGACCCATCATGATATCCAGAACCAGTTAGCTTCTGGTTTATATCAACCATCCGAAAACCAACTCCCGTGCCCGCGAAAAGACGACCTCGGTTTCTCTTGAAGCCCTGCGCTACAGCCGACGACCGCGGTGTAAGGCCTAGGCATAAGGTTTCTTCTCACCGTATTACTCTTGATATAACCTCCCAATCTCTTTCCTCTCTCCCTTTTTGCACCCTTCTCCCCGGGGCTGCTCCACTTCAAGCCGCCCCTAAAGACCAGCTTAGTATTGATGTTACAGCCGCAAAGTTCCCGGCTTCTGCTGCTCCAGAGGTCGTTGCGCACTACAGTCACAGGCACCGCAGCCACTGGGACACTGCTGTACAGTCCCTCCGCAGCGCCGTCACTGTCGCCATACCGAGTACCTGGCCGGGCCAATTACATGGCATCGCTGGCAGCACGCAGCCCTGCCGCTGCCGCTGCAGGCCCCGGCGGGAGCAATAGTGTCGTTACCAGTGATGCCCCGCCCCCTCCATCCTCTTCTTATTCTCACTCTGCTGCTACGTCAACCTCCAAAATTTCTTCCCGTCGAACAGCTCAGATTGCTCGACACTTTTCCTCTTCATCCTCACCAACAGGTCCCGTTTCAAAGCAGAAGCCCGACATGGCCTCCAACTACACTGTCCGCAAGGTTGCGGCTCCCAACACCCTCGAGCACCGAGTCTACATCGAGAAGGATGGCCAGCCCGTTTCTCCTTTCCATGATATTCCTCTCTATGCCAACCAGGAGCAGACCATCCTGAACATGGTTGTTGAGATTCCTCGATGGACCAATGCCAAGCTCGAGGTATGTTACTGGTCAACATCAATTGCTGTCTTGTTACCTCCTCGACACGCTTTGCTTTATTTACAGTTGTCGTGTGCTCTATTACCCCTCCCCCCTCCTTGCGCAACCGTTGCTCCAGACCAGCAAAACGAACGCACAATATGAATACTGACAAAACCCTCACTATAGATCTCCAAGGAGGAGCTCCTCAACCCCATCAAGCAGGATATCAAGAAGGGCAAGCTTCGATACGTCCGAAACTGCTTCCCCCACAAGGGTTACCTCTGGAACTACGGTGCCTTCCCCCAAGTATGCTCATTATTTACCCCAATCTGACGTGGTCACCCCTAACTCGATCACCAGACTTGGGAGGACCCCAACTCCGTTCACCCTGAGACCAAGGCTAAGGGTGACAACGACCCTCTCGATGTCTGCGAGATCGGTGAGCTCGTTGGTTATACTGGCCAGGTCAAGCAGGTCAAGGTCCTCGGTGTCATGGCTCTCCTCGACGAGGAGGAGACTGACTGGAAGGTCATCGTCATTGATATCAACGACCCTCTCGCCTCTAAGCTGAACGACGTTGAGGATGTCGAGCGACACCTTCCCGGTCTCCTCCGTGCCACCAACGAGTGGTTCCGTATCTACAAGATTCCCGATGGCAAGCCCGAGAACCAGTTTGCCTTCACTGGCGAGTGCAAGAACAAGAGGTGAGTTCTCAAATTCCGGCTTAGTGAGCCCGAGACTGACAATTTTAAGCTACGCCCTTGACGTCGTCCGCGAGTGTGCTGAGGCCTGGGAGCGTCTCATCACTGGCAAGACCCCTGCTGGCGGTGTCTCCACGTAAGTCTCCAAGCTGTCTTCCTAACACAGTTGATACTAACGTTTGCGTAGCACCAACGTCACTGTCCAGAACTCTCCTTCTCGTGTCTCTCCTGACCAGCTCCCCCCTCTGCCCCCCAACGAGGACGTCCCCGCCGAGAAGATCGATGCTTCCATTGACAAGTGGTTCTTCATCAGCGGTGCCTCTGCTTAAGTGTCCATAGACCAACCATCTTGCATAAAAGGAAGAACTACGGCAGACATGTAGTCTTCACAAAAGTTGAGCACGGAGATACTCAAGAACAATATATAAAAATGATGCCAATTGTCGTAATATTATACAAGACCCTCAATCCCTGCTATGCCATAGGGGTTTGTAAATGTACAGGGTTCGTTCCCTAACGCCGTTTGTGCGGAGTGATACAGTATAGCGGTGTTTTTCACATATTTTAATCAGTCAAGTCGGCTGCCTTTTGCAGTTGACGCGAATGTCGGTCTACTTCCTCCACCAGTCCTTTAATGTTAATCTTTTGGCAGTCGAAGTTGAGCTCCTTGCCATCCTCTGCATCTCGTTAGCCATTGGACCCCTTGGGGACAACTAATAGCCTTCTAGTATTACATACTAAATTTCACTCGTAGGGAGCTGGGCTCTTTTGAAGTTCGGGGTAGGATGGTCGACGTGATTGTTGTTCCATTCGCTCGGGCATTCGGAGGCAGAAATGTGAGAAACAGACGAGCTGGCTTTGCGCAGGCCGAGAAAGGGTTGAATTTGGCCGAAACCTCAGTCATAAATTTGGTGATCATCTTGGCAGCGAGGAAGAGGCTAAGCTCGTGAAATACTCAAGAGAAATTGGCTTTGGCAAGGGAGTCGAACGTAGTCGTTAACACACTCAAGAGCTATAGCCGGGTACCTCAGTTTGGCGATGCTGAAATTTCGAGGTTCGATAACGTCTCGGTACATGCATATATCACCCTAAAGGGGCAGCACTCAGCTAACTGCAACGTCATGATAATGACGGACCACGTTTCGAGATCGACTTGCACATTAGGTATACACTTAACACTTCTTCACCAGCATACTATTACAAACTCAACAAGCTAAAAATGTCTTTCGATGGTCTGCAGGAGCGTTTGACGGCTCTGCAAGAGACGACAACACAGCTCAAAGAGCTTATCGATCGACTCGCAACACTCAAATTCCAACCTGGCTCCGTTCCCCTGACCACCGACGAGGAGAGCAGCGAAAGCGGCGAACTCAGCGCAGAAATCACGAGCACTCTACGGGATGGAGAAGAGGAGCATGAGCTTTTGCAGGAAGAAGTGGAGTTTCTGCGCGTTGCAGAGCATGACAAAGACCGATTGAAAGAGAGTGTCGAAAAGATTGGAAAGGAGCTTGCAAGGTATAGTTTGCACTCAGAGGAAGGTGGTATTTATGTCTAAAATTACTCTAGCTGCCGTCTCTCTTTTCGAAAAGCACGGCTGTCGGCAAAACATAGCCTCGCACAGGCACAAAGACGAGAGCGCGAGATCCTCCTTACATCATTTTCACAACCTACCTCCGAGACCAACTCTCTTTACCCTGACGATGAAAAGACTGCTCGTCCTATACGCCATCAGCAGAACGTTCAGAAGCAGCAATCGAGCCTCACTGAAGAGGATCAACAGAACGTTGGTGCGAGTGCTAATGTGACCAATGCCCTACGACGAACACATGATCTGATCCAGGCGGAGTTGGCTCGCAGCGAGTTTGCACATGAGACTCTGACGGAATCTTCTGCTGCTTTGAAGCAACTGAACGAGTCGTATGGCTCTCTGGACACAATGCTGGCGAGCTCCAAGGACTTATTAGGCACACTGTTGCGCTCGCAGAAAAGCGATACGTGGTACCTCCAGACGACATTTTACATGCTAGCTTGTACACTCGGCTGGCTGTTGTTCAGAAGACTGCTGTATGGACCGATGTGGTGGATTGTTTGGCTACCGCTAAGGTTAATGTTTGGATTGGGAACGTCAGCAGGCAGTGCGGTGATGCACGTGGGTTCGGGGCAGGGCCAGGTGAAGGAGGCTGGACAAGCGAGCAAAGGAGTTCCGGTGGAGGGCTTGCCGGACGATGAATTGCCTACCGTCAAAGTTGACACCGATCAGCAGGCCGAAGTTTTGGAGGAGGTGGATAAGATTGTGAACGTTGTGAAAGAAGCAGATGAGCTGGGGAACATCCCAGAGGGTGATGAAGACAACATTGGCAATCCCAAGAAGAGGATGTGGGAGGAGCCTGGTGTTGTTGAGCAGCAACGCCCTAGAGACGAGTTATAAGTTGGATAATTATTAATTTTGTAACAACAACGTCCCGAACATGTTAAAGCATTTTCTTCATAACTATGAAGCGAGTCTTGTCAGTAATTTGTTGAACTGTAAACTGATTCTGGAACATGATGCCCGTTAAAAAACTCGCCAAAGAAATGATCCGCAATGGTGGCATACTCTATTCTTCCAGAGAGGCTTTCAGTCCCTTGGTCATCATCATGTCATCGACCACATTCATCTATCGACTATCCTTGAATTTTCTTTAAGCCATCATCTCACATAACGCCGTGCCTCATTTGGGTTTCAGGCTAACAACCTGACAAGCAAACCCGTTCGTCGAGAGCATAAGCCAAGGTGCCGGGATTTGTAGGCAACTCTGACTGCTTCTCCGACTATGTTCGCTGGGGAGCAATCTGCTCGACTTCGCTGATCCAAGGAAGGCCGAGCTTCTTCATCTCAACGGCAAGCTGGAACAGGTAATCGAGACTACGTTAAATCAGCGTAAGGTAATCATTCACAGATCACGAGTGAGTTGTTATATCTTCCATACCTCTCACATTGAGTCTTGGCCTTATGAACGTTATCACCCCAGACGTAGACACCGTGACGACGGACGAGAACAGCGTATGTGTCGGGATACTTATCCATCGCTTCTTCGAGATACTCCGTCAAGTCCTCCTCATGAGGAGTGTTCTCGATGACTGGAATGCGAAGGGTGTCATGATAGCCCAGGTTGCCTGTCTTGTTCATGCCACGGCCAAAGCCCTTGATTTGCTCAATGTTGTTGATCTCGAAAACTCGGTCTTTTCCAGGGCCTTGGGATTCTAACAGGAGGGTCACAAGAACAGCCCATTGAGAGTGAGTATGTATACAACAGCCAGCCCCTCGGCGGGTGAAAGCAGCAAGGAACAAGGGGGTGCACTGAGAAGGCTTATAGCAGGGAGGAGATCGCAGATAGGTGCGCTGGTTGAGCTTGTTGTGGTTAGGATCTTGCTCAGAAAGAGCCATGACGTAGATGTCGGTGTTCTTCATGAGTTCTTTTTGAACGCCCGAGGGCGCAATGTATACGAGATCACTGTGATCATGGTGTAAGTTAAGAGAAACGTTTGCTCCTTATCTCGATAGCAAATGCTCAAGATAAGTTTCAGATGATTTTCCCATTGACTTGAGGAGGATATACACCGGTATCATGAGTCTTGCAATAACATAAATTTGCCTACTCCAACTCATCATCATGGCGGGGTCGCGGGGTAAAAAAAGAAATTGATGAAATTTCAAGAACGAGCAAGGTAAACATAAACATACTCATCTCGAATGGAGCAACCGCCTCCTGTTCCCGTAACCCAGCCCAGAGTCCAGAACTTTGCGCATAGCGAAGGGATCAGGTTTGCAGGGTGGTTTGGGTCCTCGGAAGTAATGAGGGCATCGCCAGTTGGGCGTTGCTCAGTTGACATTTTGTCTTTGGAGGAAGACTTAGAGATACGGAGCGAGCTTTGAATTGTGTCTTTGCAGAGGGTTGCCAATTCGGAACACTGCGGCCGGGAAAACACAGAGATTCAGCGGAGTGTTGAGGTATGGGAAATGAGATAGCAGCACGGCCAATGTAATAGAGATGAAACTGATGTTGGTGGTGGATAGTTTCTTGTCGAACGTTAGGCCAATGCCACACCCGTCTACGTAGTAGGCTACGCCTCAGGGGGCAAGAAAACACCGAACCTTGAAATAAGGTGTTAAAATAAACTAAGCAAAGAGGACCCTAAGCTTAGGCTAAATTTACCTGATATTTTTATCGCTTAGGGTAGAGGTCTTGAGTTTTCTTTCCTCCCCTAGGCTACCTAGGTTGTAGTTTGAGAGCCTCTGAGTGGCTGAGGAAGATATATCAGGGTGCTCTGTGCTCTGTGCTCTGTGCTGTCGAAATCCATCTCATCCGTGATGACAAGAGCACTCTTGGGAGAACTACCTACTGTACGCTAGCCAATTAACAACCACAAGACATTCTTTACATCCAAGGCCATTTTGCGAAGAATCAGGTCGTGGCTGATGAGCGCAACGGCTCAAACAATCAGAAACAATGGCTTGGGAACGTTGGGCATTTACTAGGTAGGTACTTAACATAAGGTAGTCTTGAGTGGGCGGGCCGTGTTTCTCCTGGTGCTCTTCAAAATCTACACCAACCCAAGTCTCTTTCTCAATAATCTTTGCCATGTGGATGGAATCTTCTTTTGTCTGGAATATTCTATGTTGTATTCCAACTCTATGCAATACGTGCAACCTCGGTTTTCTCTGAGCTGAGGTTGTATTGCGTCCATGGTGGCAAGCGAGTGGGCTATGAATAGGAACGGAGACGGAACAGCCGAGAAAGGACCAAAAGACACGGAGTACAGCTAATAATGGGGTTTCCCTTCCATCAAGATTCATCGACGCAAGTCTGAACTAGACCAGATAGCCATCTGTTGCAACACATAGGGCAGTACATACACATCTTTGCATGAACTCAACGGTTCATGTTATCTGAATGACAATGACTCGGAGTTTTGAATATGTGATAATAATAGCCAGCATCAGATGGAGAATCTTGCCGGATTGAAGACGAATGGACGAATGCCTTGGAACAGACCTGGCCTGTGTTTTAACATTTTCAAGGATGGCACCTCAACCACAAGCCTTTACAGGTGGGTAATAATACTCGTTTAATGAGTGCGAGAATCCATCAACAGGCTCTGAGCAGTGAGCATCATGTCTTGTCTTAAGATGTTGACCCTTGTCCCTGCTTATATGCAATAAATGGCCTTTTTCAGCTCTCAGCGCCGGTGCCGGGAAGCCAACAACCTGGTCCTGGTAGAGCTGCACTGTGGCAGTATCACAGGACACAGGTGCCCCTAATAACAAAGTGGCATATGGGGGAACGGG